GGAGCAGAAGAAGAAGGATGAGGAAGAACTTCGTGAGAAGGAGGCACAAAGATTGGCACAAGAGAAGAAAGCAGAAGAGAAGAGACTTGAGGAGCAGAAGAAAAAGAAACAAGAACAGGCAATTAAAGATGAAGTGCTCAAGCGGAATTTGGCCAATGCCTGCAGTAGGTTGGTTGACGCCCAATCAGCCAACAATTCTGAAGCTGTGGATTTTGAGAAGGCAGTCATTGCGGTCCTTTTGAAAATGAAGGTGGAGAGCTCCGACGAGCAAAAAAAGGGGTCGGGAGGATCGCTTTCGGAATATGAGAAGGAGAAGGCCCTAAGGGATGATTTAAGAGAAGAAGAGGCAGCTGCTGCTGAAGCCATCCGCGACAGGAAAGCTAAAGGAAAAAAAGGGCCAGTGGAAGAAGAATTTGATGCAGAGAGCGGGGATGAAAGCAAAGAGCATAGAGCTGCATTCGCAGACACCCGTCGCAAACCTTTCTTGGCCAAAACACCTGAGCTGTTGAGCCTTCCTGACGAGGAGACAAATGAGGAGTTGATGCAGAATATTCTTCGGGATCAAGCTGCTTTGAGAGAAAAAATCAGGACAGAAAAGAAGAGACTAGCAGATGAGAAAGCAAGCTCAAAAGGCAGGGGCAGAGGCCGAGGCAGGGGAAGAGGAAAGAAGCAAGCAGAAGCAGCAGCAAAGGAAGCAAAGGAAACTCCCAACGAAGACGAGAACGAGCTTCCAGGACTGGATGCTCGCATGGAGCCTGAGGATGCCCAAATGAAAGTAGACCGGGCGCTTGAAGATGAAGATGAAAAGAACCGGAAGAACAAGCGAAGAAAGACAGGACCCAAGAAGCAACCGGCAAAGGGCAGTTCAACTGATGCTAACACAGAGGAGAAGGAAGAAGAAAACAAAGATGATCAGGAGAAAGAAGAAGAAGGCAGTGGGTCCAAAAGGAAAGCCGAGGACAGTGAATAGTCAAGTCTGTCGGTGCAATTGTTGACTAAATATGATGGACACTAATGTTAGTCAACCCAAAAGAAAAACATCACTTGATCAACTGTTTAAACAAGATGGATTTGTTCTTGTGTCAGGACCTAAAGGAAGAAAAGGCAGAGAAGCGAAAGAAGTATCGACAGGTGTAGTGTTCGATCTGTTTTGCGTCTGTTTCCTTCTGGCCTCTTTTGGCTCACCATC